ACGAAGTATTCAGAATCCATGAATCAAATGAATTAAATGAATCTTCCATTTGCCCAATAGTCCAACAAGGCACGCCAAGATTTTATTTTATTTTTTTTTTGTGAAATATATGTCAAAAAAATGTAGAAATTTTTGAGCTATAAGGAATATCAGGTGGAACATTGAAGAAGCTACAGTAATAAAGGTTTTTCGTTTTTCTTTGATAATTAAGGAATGCAAAAGAAAAATTGAAAAAAAAAATCAATTCTTAATGTTTTTCCCATAAAAAATTTTCCGCATATGTAAAATGAATTGATGTTTTTGAGAAGTCTTTTGTTGACCTCAAAAAAAAAATACATTACCAGTTAGTAATGAATTATTATTATAGAGAGGGTTTTTCGTTTGTCTTTGATAATTAAGGAATGTAAAAGAAAAACTGAAAAATATCAATTCTTAATGTGTTTCCCATAAAAAAATTTTCGCATATGTAAAATGAATTGATGTTTTTGAGAAGTCTTTTGTTGACCTCAATTAAAAATATATTACCAGTTAGTTATGAATTATTATTATAGAGAGATATCCCAATTAATTTATTTTTACCTATAAATTTATAATTTACATTAAAAATTACTATTAAATGATGGAGTGATGTGGTTGTGACATGTGGACTTATATATCTAATTTTTTGCCACGTGGATTAGCCTATCTAGTTTTGCGCCATGTGTCCGATTGAAAATTCTCCCTTAATATATATAGAGATAGAGATATAGGTTATTATTAGTATTATTATTATTTATTATATATCTGATTCCCATTTATGTATTACTCATTTTTACAATATTTTTATTTTTTGTACATATAGTAACAAGTGATATTAGTATTTTACCAATCATTATTATTTAACAACTAGATTTTTGCCCCTGTGTTGCACGGGTTATTTTAATTGTTCAGTTATAATTGGAAATTTATGATAGAAAAAAGTGAAATGTATAATGAAAAAATAGTGACTTATACGTTTCCCTTATTTTGTTGCTACTTTGACGTGAAATTTTTTTTCTAAAATTACAATTTTACCCCTAATTATTATATACGCATCAACGACTATGCATTTTCACCATATATCTTTCATTGTCTCTATTACTGTTGTTTATGATATAATGTCAACATTGAATGATGAAAATATTTAAAATACTTGCAAACAGTTTTAGGATATCATGAATTGATTGTTTGGCATTACTACAATATCAATTGGTTTATTGTTTTAAAGAGAAACCAAATAATAGATCACATTATTCCTGCAAAATTCTCTTCTCTATAACATTTATAATATGATTATGATACGATTTTCGTTTTTTTCTATTAGAAACTTTTCTGTGCATATTTGATTTTTTATTTTGCATAATACATTGCAAAGTTAGCACTCAAAAAAATGTTTTATGTGAATGAAGATTAATCTTTCCAACTCCTATTTAATTATAATAAGAAAAACAAAGAGCAAATCAGATTTGTTTTCAATTCAGTATAAATGTGAACATTTTGTCAATTAGAGTATATGTAATTTAAAAGATGAATTACCAACATAGTTTGCTGAAAATTTTATAGTTTGTATAGGAGAATCATCCATTTTGAAAACTTGTAACCTTGTGCGGTTCACAAATCACAATATAGATAGTACGTTGCTTGAGTTGTGATAGTTTTTTAGCGATAAATGTCAAGTAAAATTAAAATAATTAGTTTCTTAAAAGCAAAATACAAATATAAGAAAGTATGTTTTAAATAATAGAACTTAAAATAAAGGAAGAAATAAGATTAAAAATTCAAAAAACTGATAATGGGACACAAAAATTTGAATAAGATTTCAAAAAATACATTATGGGCATGTGCTGGAAAATGTCTTAAAATTATATTTTGTGCGTCAGAAAATTTGAAAATCTACATATATATATAAGGGCGAGTTGACCGGATATCCGCCTATTTAGGTACGGCAGTCGGTTGAAATCCTTCCACGTGTCATTCAGTTATTGGAGACAGGATTGTCTCTGGGCCCTTCAACCACTCCTCCCGGTTTGTCTTCTCCTTCTTTCGCTATTCCTGCAGTCTTCTATTCTGCTCCTACTCCTCTCGGTATTTTTCCCTCAACGGCTGCCAAATCTGATTGTCTGTGTTCATGTGCGCAAATGGATTCACGAATTGATCAATCAAAAGACAGAAGAATCACCATTAAAATGGACCATCTTGTTCCTCTCCCAGTTCCCATCGCCGCACCGGTTCTTTCATCTTTCCTTCCATCTTTCTTTCAAATTATCGAGAAATAGTTTTAATCGGTGGAAGGAAAGATATTAGCCAATTCGAAAGTCAGGTTAGATTTTATTTCTCTGATTCTTTTCTAATAACAAGAATTTTTTTTTTTTTTTGACAATTTGATGCGATTGAAGGCCATGGGTAGACTGGGTAATTTAGGTTCAGTGTGTGAGCTATAATAGAAAGAATTTTGTTACATTGTCCAGCTGTTTGTGATGTTTTATGGTTTTCTTTCATATTTTTGGTCTGCCAACTGCTCTTGGAGTTGCTTTCATGAAATTTTGTATGTTGTTAAATTAGTGGGTCGATGACCAAACTATTGAATTGATCAGAGCTTATAAACTTTAAGAAGAGGAGTAGTATGGATTTCTTAGTGGTTGGCCATTTTCGGAATTTGAATTGAATTTGAAATTTGGTTCGTGGTGAGGACAATTACTGTTCAAATCCTTTTCTTAAAGAATTTAGCTCGCTCATTCAATGAACCTATCTAGGAACAACAATTTGTCTCAATTTCAATTTATGGATTCTGTTTTGGAAGTTAAAGAAAAGAAGCATAAAATAATTGGTAGGTTTTCATCTACTAGAGATCCTAATATGTGCGATGTCTAGAATCTTATAGACGCTAATTAAATGGAATTAAAGATGTATGTAAAAAATATGCATGGGCTTTTGTAGTAGCTTTAGAGAGAGATGATTCTGGATATTTGATTCTTTCTCAGGTTACGTTCTTTTGAAAACTTACAGCATAACTTGGCACCAGTTTCTAACCACTAATTTTAAGATTAGTCGTACTCCTGTGAATAGCTGTCATCTTTACATTATTACCCCGCAAGTCCTTTTTTAATGCCTTGCATTCCCATTTACTCGGTTATGGTTTAAACTATCTCAGTTGTGTCTTGCAGGAAAAAGTCATTGAGAAAATAGATGTGATTCAATTTTCTCTGAGAAGGATAACATTTGAGAGGAGCTTCTTGAGTTTGAGACAGATGGACCTCTTTCTTCATTGAGCAAAACAAGCCATATACGGACTGAACAAAGCTGCCACGGTGGTGACGACTTAGAATGAGAGTGTGATAGCATTATTAAGTAGAATGGATGATTTAGGATGACAAAATTGCCTCACCTCATAGTTTTGCTAAAGTAATTCTAAGTGGTTAGGGAGTTTACATGATTAAGAGATATGCACAAATGATTACTTTTTCATTTGTTGCTGCTACTTAAACTTACATCCTATGTGTACATAGTTTCACATTCCCATTTAGTATAGGATTTGGGTCAAGATAGTAAGGTATTAGTTTCACAAACTAATCAAAATAGGATTAAGAAAGTTAATAAAGGATTAGTATAAAATATGCATATGCTAAAGCAACACCAGAAACAAAAATAAATTTACCAAGTAATATTATTAAAACTTTGAAATATATTTCAGAAATTATTGTTCCCAAAGCAAAACAATTAAACTGATAATGATATGTGCGATTAAAATCTGGGCTATCATTCCCCCATTTGCCGCACCCCAACCTAGTATATATCAAAGACGTGGTAATAAAATAAGAATATACATCAATAATAAAACGAAAAAAAAATAAAAAAAGAATCTTGTGTTTTTTCTAAATCATATAAAAAACATGTGATAAAATATACTTGAATAATATTCATTACAAAATATTTGAATTGCGAATATGATACCTTACATCTCATTTTTTTAATCTCTTATTGTCATTACATATCTAATTTAATCTATTTATATGATTTTTAAGTAGATAAAACGTAGAGTTAGATTCTAAAAAGTCAATCAAGGCCTGTATTGATTAAAAACATAATTTATATCAAAATTTTGGTTAAAAAATCCTAAAAACGCAAGTAACTTGAACATTAAAATGACTAAGAACAAGCATAAGTATGTCATGAAATATTATTCGAAAAACATCAATTATTTTGATCCTCAAACTTTTCAAATATATGATTAAATAATCGTATATCATTGTTTAATACTTGCATCACATTTATTCTAATATTCACTCCTTAATAGGCATATTCACGATGTTCCAATAGTCAATAAAGGTTTCATAATATGGGTGTTAACATATGTTATTAATTTTGATGTGAGTGTAAAATGATAAATATTTATATCAATTGTCATAGGGATTAAGGTTTCAAAACAAATGAGATCAATAAAAATATCGGTAGTGTTTCACAATACTGAATTAATATACATTAAAAAATGTACATACATTTAAAGCGATCGGTTTACATAATTATACACAATTATACTAATATTCTAACCCACAATTAGATGAACTATAGTGAGGTCATTGCCACAATTTTTTTATTTAATAATTATAATCTTTTTTGTTAAATTTTTTTTTGTTACTAAAACCATAATCAACCATCTGATTACCCTATCAAGCCCCTTTTAATCTAGTGCCCTTGCAATTGCAAATGAAAACTGCAGTTGCATTTATAATGAAAACAGTTGGCTGCCAACGGTAACAGTAGTACTATTACTAATATTGTTGTAGCTACCACTGGTAATCCTAAGAAAGTGAAGACTAATGAAACCAACAAGCTGTCAATTGTAGGAGATGATGGGCAACAGTTCGACTTGCAAGATCTTCTAAGAGCATCTGCCGAGGTGTTAGGGAGCGGCAACTTTGGTTCCTCATATAAGGTTGTGCGTATGGATGGTCTTACCGTTGTTGGTTAAAAGATTTAAACAAATGAACAACCTTGGCAAAGAAGATTTTCATGAACACATGAGAAGGCTTGGCAGACTCGTCCATCCTAACTTGTTGCGTCTTGTGGCTTATTACTACTGGGAAGAGGAAAAGCTCTTAGTATTTGATTACATTCAAAATGGAAGCTTGGTCAGTCATCTTCATGGTACGCATATAATAGTTTGTACGTGCGTTTAATTTAATTACTTGGAACATACATATATATTTGTTTGCTAGTGTAGCTCTAACTAGTTTATTTTATGTATATACTAGATTATTATTAATTCGAATGAATTCAATGACCAATCATGATCTTAGTTGTTAATCAGGTAAGCATTTATTGGACCAACCATCCCTTGATTGGCCATTTCGGTTGAAAATTGTCAAAGGAGTCGCAAAGGGTTTGGCTTATCTACATGCCGAGCTTCCAAGTGTAAGTTTACCTCATGGCCATTTAAAATCTTCTAATGTGGTTTTAGACAAAAATTGCCAACCCCGGCCCCTTAATGGACTATGCCGGTCCCTGTTGTCAACCCTCACCAAGTCCAACAGTTACTTGTAGCCTATAAATAGGAAAAAATGTCGATCCTACCCAAATCTTTGACCTCGTTGTCAATCATACCCAATAGTTTTTCGGTTAGCCAATTTTATCCTAATGTTTAAAATTTTCGCCAATTTCGTCCAATCAGCCCATTTTCCGTCCAAATTAATGGATCTCCGTTAGTTTTTTAATAAAATAATAAATTTAAATACAAAATACCCCAATAGTTTATAAAAATTTTAAAAATAACCCCTAAAATATATAAAAATAACAAAATAGTCCCTTTTTCCTTTTTTATTTCATTTTTCTCTATTTTGTTCCATTTCTCTCAACTACTTTTAATGACCATAAAAGTATATTATACGAGTTTTAAAAACACATTTATTTATTTTCAAACTCTATCGTAAAAGTTAATCTTTGTATAGTTGTAACACATGGTTGTATTTATATAAGCATGTTAATCTTTTTAATAATATAGTTTAGCAATAAAGACAATATTTTTCTGATTTATTTTATTCTTCCTAACATAAAGATTAAAAATATTTAAATGAAACTAATATTCCACATAAAAATAAAATATTAGCTCAAATAAAAAATAATATATTAGTATAGTTTAGTGTATTACAATTTAACTAGAGAGACTATATGGCATAATATAATTTATAGAAAATATGTTTATACTTATTAATGCGAGGATTTAATAAATCTCCAGAATATGCACATGGGCGCACCACTAGGAACTAGGAAGACTGATGTTTGGAATCCTGGCATCTTGATTTTGGAAATCCTTATCAGTAAGTTCCCAGCAAATTACATTGCTCAGGATACGGGTCCTGTCACTTCATTTTCTTCTTATGTTTCTGAACTACCTGCCTAGATTGGTCATCATGCCACCCCGTCAACACTGATGCTTCTAAGAGCAACAACCCAAAGGAGGACACTGATTTTGATACAGAAATGAGGAATACCAAGAGCTCCCAAGCACAGGACTGGCTTGTTGTGTCGAAGATTTGGAAATGCTTAAAAATCATAAAAAACTAAAAAAAAATATAAATAAAAATGATTACTTTTTTTTTTTGAGCTCGTCGGCTTTTTCGTCGAGATCGGTAGATCGACGGAAAAGTCAACGGAAAAACTTTTCTTTAAAAAACTTAGAATTTTTTTAGTTTTATTAAAATGTTGACACTTTGATTGGTTAATGTCGATACTACCATATATAATTATTTAAAATAATAACACATAATTAAGTTTAGTTTTCGTTGATTTTCTCGTGATTCGTCCCCATTAAATTGGTTAAAAAGACGAATAAGTGGACCAAAAAAACTTATGTAAATAGTAAAAATTTTATACATTCTAAATTTAATACATAATTTTAATGCTTAAAAACCATAAAATAATAAAAAAATAAATAAAAATGATTATAAAAAAACATATTTTTTTGAGCTCGTCGAATTTTTCGTCGATGTCGGTAGGTCGACGGAAAAATTTTCTTGAAAAACTTAGAAATTTTTTGAGTTTTGTTAAAATTTTGAAACTTTGATTGGTTAATATCTATACTACGATGTATAGTTCTTGAAAATGATAATACATAATGGAGTTTGGTATTTGTTGAGTTTTCTAGTGATTCGTCCTTATTAAATTTGTTGAAAAGACAAAATTTGAAAAAAACTTATGCAAATAGTAATTTTATATATATTCTAAATTGAATACATAATTTCCATGCTTAAAAACCATAAAATAATAATAAAAAATATATTAAAAAATAATTTTAAAAAAACATATTTTTTTTAGCTCGTCGACTTTTTCGCCGAGGTCTGTAGGTCGACGGAAAAACTTTTCTTTAAAAAACTAAGAATTGAGTTTCATTAAAATGTTGACAGTTTGATTGGTTAATGTCTATACTACCATGTATAGTTCTTGAAAATGTTAATACATAATAGAATTTGGTATTCGTTGAGTTTTCCCGTGATTCGTCCCTATTAAATTTGTTGTAAATACGAACATGTGAACAAAAAAACTTATGCAAATAGTAATTATTTTATATATTCTAAATTAAATACATAATTTTAATGCTTAAAAACCATAGAATAATAAAAAAATTAAAAAAAATTTTGAGCACGTCGACTTTTTCGTCGAGGTCTGTAGGTCGACGGAAAAGTCGACGGAAAAACTTTTCCTTAAAAAACTAAGAATTTTTTGAGTTTTATTAAAATTTTGACACTTTGATTGTTTAATGTCTATACTACCATGTATAGTTCTTGAAAATGATAATACATAATGGAGTTTGGTATTCGTTAAGTTTTTTTGTGATTCGTCACTATTAAATTTGTTGAAAAGATGAATAAGTGAACAAAAACACATACGCAAATAGTAATTATTTTATATATTCTAAATTGAATACATAATTTTAATGCTTAAAAACGATAGAATAATAAAAAATATATATATATATAAATAATATAAAAACATATTTTTTTGAGCTCGTCTACTTTTTCGTCGAGGTCTGTCGATCGACGGAAAAACTTTCCTTAAGAAACTAAGAATTTTTTGAGTTTTATTAAAATGTTGACGCTTTGATTGGTTAATATCTATAATACCATGTATAATTCTTGAAAATGATAATACATAATGGAGTTTGGTATTCGATGAGTTTTCTCTTTTGATTCATCCTTGTTAAATTTGTTGAAAAGACGAATAAGTGAACAAAAAAACATATGCAAATAGTAATTATTTTATATATTCTAAATTGAATACATAATTTTAATGCTTAAAAATCATAGAATAATAAAAAAAAATATAAAAATAACAAAAATAAACTTATTTTTTTGAGCTCGTTCCGTCGACGGAAAATTTTTTCCTTAAAAAACTAAGAATTTTTTTAGTTTTATTAAAATGTTTACACTTTGATTGGTTAATGTCTATACTACCATGTACAGTTTTTGAAAATGATAATACATAATTCGTTGAGTTTTCTCGTGATTCGTCGTTATTAAAATTTTTGAAAAGACGAATAAGTGAACTAAAAAACATATGCAAATAATAATTATTTTATATATTCTAAATTGAATACATAATTTTAATGTTTAAGAACCATAGAATAACAAAAAAAAAATATAAAAATAATTAAAAAAATATATATTTTTGAGCTCGTCGACTTTTTCGTCGAGGTCTGTAGGTCGACGGAAAAAATTTTCCTTAAAAAACTAAGAATTTTTTGAGTTTTATTAAAATGTTGACACTTTTATTGGTTTATGTCTATACTACCATGTATGGATCTTGAAAATGATGATACATGATGGAGTTCGGTATTCGTTGAGTTTTCTCATGATTCATCGCTATTAAATTTGTTGAAAAGACGAATAAGTGAACAAAAAAACATATGCAAATAGTAATTATTTTATATATTCTAAATTGAATAAATAATTTTAATGCTTAAAACCATAGAATAATAAAAAATATATATAAAAAAAAAACTTTTTTGAGCTCGTCGACTTTTTCGTCGAGGTCTGTAGGTCGACGGAAAAACTTTTCTTTAAAAAACTAAGAATTTTTTTAGTTTTATTAAAATTTTGACACTTTAATTGGTTAATGCAAAGGCGGAGACAGGGGGTGGCCAGCCGGTGCGGCAGCACCCCCTCTGATTTTATTTTTTTAATAATTATTATATAATTACTAGGTAGAAAATGTAATTGGATCATTTTCGCACCCCCTTTGAAGAAATTATAATAAATTATAGGAAAAAAAGCCACTTTATGTAACCTAAAAATAGAGGGTCTCCAGATTATGTACCCTAAGAATTGGTCTCACCAAATCATATACCCTATATTTGAATTTTGTTGTTTTAAGTACTTTTTAAGGGTAAAATAGGAAACTAACAAAATTTTGTCCTAAACTACTATGTTTTTACCCCCAAACTTCTAGAAAATAGTAAATTGCACAATTTTATTGATTTTTTACCCGAATTTATCTTTCAGCCAGATTTCAATAAATTGCGCCTAGATTTTGGGTTAAAATTTTCCCGCGACTTCCAGTGTCTATTAGTTTGATGTATTATTTTTGCGAATTTTTCTTTATTATAAGTTTAATTTATATTTTTATTTGCCATTTTGCATAAATATTTTAAAAAATATTTTTTATTCTTTCTTCCTTTTTTTTGTACTTTTTGTTTAAATTCTTTGTACTTTGATGCAATTCTAGTGATACATAATTTTTTATTTTACGCGAATTTTTAGAGTTTTTCCTTTTGTCTAGGAGGTGATCAGTTTTTCTCATTCTTGCACTAAAATGTTTTTCTATTAAAAATACACAACAAAAAATAAAAACTATCATTACCTAAAAGTAGAGCAAGTAAACTTCAAAGAATAACGATACGCAGCACAATGGAACAATTCCGAAAGTCTAACACCAAGGAGCTGGCCATCAAGTTGGATAACAAGGGTTCCCTCTCAAAATCTCCTTGGAGCCTGAGATGCACTGTTTTTGTGGAATCTCGCACATGTTGTACACGAATATCGCCGTCTCAATCTAGTCTCCCTCGATCAAGCATGTCTACCAAAGTCATCCTCCGTGGGAACCTTGGCGGTAATCTTAAAACCATTGCATCTTCGATCTTAATCGGCAAATGAGTAGCCACAATGACAATGCCACCTTTCTTTCTATGTTCTGCAATAATATACTCCAACAGTTTCACCCCATCGTCGTCCAATGCGACAGACGGTTCATCAAGCAACCAAATTGGGCGATCGATTGCTAGTAAACGTGCTAGCTGTAGCCTTTTCCGTTGACCCATCGAAAGCATTCTTGCTTTGTCTTTTGCTAATCTTCCGAGCCCCATAAGCTCTATAGCAAGCCAAGACCTGTTACCGTCCTTGCCTTCAAGAACTTCAAACCATTGAACATTGTCAAGGACTGTAAACTTTTCCTTGATGGCATCTTTGAGTGAGAGCCAGTTGAGTTGAAGCTTATATTGATGGAAAACACCAGAATCTGTAATGTCATGTCCATTCCATAGTATCTCACCCGCAGATGGTTTAGAAAATCCTGCCAACATGCGCAAGAAAGTGGTCTTGCCTGAGCCATTTGTGCCGGTCAGAACAAGTGCACTGCCATCATGAATAGAGGCATTTACATGGCGCAGGATTTGCTGAGCATTTCTCATGCAAGATACATTATTTAGAAGAAGGCGAGGAAGTGGAGATTTACGTAGAGACATCACTAATCTGCAGTATAATCTACTTATGAATGGTGTTAAATGTCCAACTTAGATGGTGGATAGAATTCCTACTGCCCAAAACCAGGTACAAGCTGCAAAACCTAGAAAAGACAAAGCTCCTGCAAATTTTGAAAATGATTTAGAACTTAGTAATAAACCAATTAATGATAATATCCTAGCCCCAAAAAATTAACTATTATTTGTTGAACAAGAAAATGGCGTTCAAAATATAAATTGGAACGATTCATAGGTTGCTTTAAATTATCATATTCATCTACATTCATTCTCACTACTGTTAAAACCACTTAAACAATATAGGTTGAGGAAGCATGGACTGTTATAATAGACCTGCAACACTCTTTTCTGAAAAGTTTCTAATCATTGATGTGACTAGTAATGACATGCAACTAAATGAGATAAAAATCTCTTCAATATATTCATCATTATAGTATTTAGAAAAATAAAAACAGAGGAAGAAGTTGGGGTGGTAGGCGAGAAGGAGAAGAGGATAGGGATGGCAATATTTATGCTTAAGCATTCACCAAATTGGAATTTAACATCTAAACTGCAACCAACCATTTCTCGTCAAAAACTCCAAACCAACAAAAACTTCAACCCAAAAGTAAGGCCAACACACATTCCAATCACATCAACGATAAACCGAATGCAGACCAAACATACTAAAGTTCCGTGGCATGGGATAATTACTAGAAAATATCCAATGATGAACAAGTCAAGCCGTTTCCAACTACAAAGGAAAATGTTCATGAGCTCTCGCTTGCTGTACCCTGCATGACGAAAACCACTTTTCCCTTTGTAACTGAGAGATACGAAACATTGTACAAACTACATACCATCCAATTCACCAACCTATATACTACCAAAGTGCACAATGTTGCTCACAACATTACTAGTTCATGCTATCTTGCAAAACATGTGTCAAAAGGTTTCATAACTGTTCCTCATAATGGAATAACATTTAAGTATCCTACACGTGGAGAAAATAACATAAAAGCAACAACAGATCAAATTTAAACACTTTCATCAGTCAAATATCAACAAAGAACCACAAGCAGAAGCGTTCAAATGAAGGAAAGAGCACAGAGATAGACATTAAGGACGAGTGCCAATCTTGAAAAAATTGTAAGCAAGCCCAAAAACCATAGAAGATGAAAAACTCAACCATAAAAATGAACTAAACATCATCCAACTCTGTATTTACAGCATATACAATATAAGAAACTAACAGACCCAGAATGATGGAACAAGTTATATAGACTTCGTCATTGAATTTTAAGAATAGAAGAAGAAAGAACTCAAGCCTTTTCCGGACAGGGAAAAAGATATATAGACATCATCATGGATTACGTTCAAATTTCCAGATCAAAGTTTCCAGATTCACACTTTATGCCACGTTCAAATCGAATTTCCAGACAAACCAGAAATTCATTTAATAATCTGAAATAGCTGCATTGAATCGGATTAAACAAAGAAGAGATTTATAAAAAGAAATCTTGAAAAAGGATTCAAACAATGGGAGAAACGAGCCTCTAAACAAAGGAACTTGAATCTGATTTTACAGTCAAACATGTCCTGTTTTGAACATATATTTTGAGAGATCCACCGAGCGATTTGGCAAACTGTGAAAACCAAAATAACCTTGATACCAATGAAGAGTTGGTAAGAAAAATATGTGCAAAAAGAGCCATAAAACATGATTATAGGGCCCCTAAAAGTAGCTAATCAACTCTGGATTTTCCAAGTCTTCCGTGTTTCACTTCAAGACTGAGGTTCATAATTCCAGGACATAAATTGTAAATTCCAAATACAGTCCTTATTCCTTAACAAAAATAACAAAAAAAAAAGTACCCCAAACTAATTATTAGTAAGTATCATTAGGTGATCTTCTACGTAACTGCTTGTTTTGTTTTGATAAACTAAAGAACCGTAGTTAATGACCATGTTCAGATTCGAGCATTGAAACTTTAAACTAACTAATAATAAAGGGATTATTGTTTATTAACTCAGCTTGTTCAGTTCAGGCTCTAAAGAAAATGCTTAATCAGACAAACGTCATTTTTTCCTGACTTCTTTTTGTTGAAACGGACTCCTAAACATCCAGGAGTTTCATACAACTATCAAGGTTAGCTAGAGATTCAAATCCCACATTCAGAATCCAAATAATGATTCTCAAATAACAATTCCAATATTGTTACTGTACACTGTTGGGTTCTGGAATGCAGTTGGGTGCTGAAGGTTTTGCGGTTGGGTTTCTGTACACTGTTGTTGGGTTGGTTTTAGCTTTTGTTACTCATGTTCTTATCTATATGAAGAATAGGAATGCGTAGAGGATCATGATGGTCTTCGTGCTGTTTGTTTCGTTCTAGGCTGTGCAGAAAGTGGTTTTCCTGGATAGTTGGAAGACAGGATATGGTATTCATGCCTACTGGCTTTTTAACAAAATCAACTAAACATCTGATTCACGGATCAACATTCAACAGACCAACATTCGCGGATCAACATTCAACAGACCAACAGCCCCATAAACCATCAAACATACATTACATTCAACCAATCAACCGACAACAACCAACAAACTTCTTTTTTTGGGAAACAAAGAAGCAAAATAAAGTTGCTCGAACTGAGACTTGGGAGTTGGGAGTTGAGAAAGCCTACCTTGTGCTTGAGATGAAGAAGAGAAGAAGTGAAGGCCACTGCTCGAACTCCAATCCGAGAACACACGCGACGGCACGACCGACGAATGCTCGAACTCCAATCCGAATCCACTACTCGAAGTCGATGAGCTGCCAATCTTTGATTCTGGCTTTGGGAAAATCTTTTGATTTGCTTTGGCCTTTGGCTGTTGGACGGCCGCCGCGAATGAAGTTAGGAAATTAGGGTAAAATGAAACTGAAAAAATGAGAACTGGGATTTCATTCGACTAGTGAAGGTGTCGCGATCTACCGGCATGGATTTTGCCTAATCAAACCCCACAACCTATTGAGCAATCATGCAACAGAAGAAATTCGCTTAGAAACATACTAAGTGGGCGCCTGGTTTGGGGGTGTGAATCCCATGGTGCGGGTTTGATTCCAAATAAAGCTGCTTGGTTGCTGAGTTATGATTCCAGCACAGTAGTTTTTTGGATTTCAAACCCAATGACCCATTTCACATATTATTGGAGGGTTTAATAACCTTAAGTCAAAAGAAAAGAAAATTCCTTCCTTTACCCCTCTACTAATTAAAACATTTACCATTTTTTCCTACTTCGCGAATTCACCGCTCTTCCACATCTCTTCTTCTCCTTCATTTCCTTCCTCAATCCCAAATGTTCACACCAAATCGATAGCCTCACCGTAAATTACCACCATCAAACCTCATTTTTTAAAGAAAAATAATCATAACAAATAAAATCCTAAATTGCCAAGAACAAATTTGCCGCCGCCGCCGCCCGCCGCCCGCCGCCCGCCGCTACGCTCTGCCACCGATGGCCAATCCTTCTTTATTCATGGAGGCAAAAGG